CAGGCACGCGCCACCATGCCCAGCTAATGTTTTGTATTTTTAGTAGAGACGGGGTTTCACCATGTTGACCAGGATGGTCTTGATCTCTTGACCTCGTGATCCACCCGCCTCAGCCTCCCACAGTGCTGGGATTACAGGCTTGAGCCACCGCACCCGGCTGCAGTTGATTTTTATATGTTGATCTTGTATCTTCCAACCTTGCTCAACTTATTAGGTTACAGTAGGTTTTTAGTGGATTCCTTAGGATTTTCTGTATAAGAGATCATATCATCTGCAAATAGAGATGCCTTTAGTTCTTCCTTTTTAATCTGTAGGCCTTTAATTTCATTTTCTTGGTAAATGCCCTGGTTAGAACCTCTAGTACACTGTTGAATAGAAGTGGCAAGAGTGAATATCCTTGTCTTGTCATATTAGGGAGAAAGCATTAAATCTTCCACCATTAACTGTGTTTGCTGTAAATCTTTCTTTGAAGGTCCTTTATTGAGATGAAGAAATTCTCTTTTGTTCCTAGGTTGTTGTGTATGAAGCGATGTTGAGTTTCGTCGAATCCTTTCTCTGTATTGAGTTTTGTCGTTTATTGTACTGGTGCAGTGTGGTAATTTCTGGATGTTAAACCAATCTTGCATCCTTGGAGTAAATCTCACTTGGTCATAGTGTACAGTCCTTTTGTGTGCTGCTGGATACGGCTTGCTGGTTTTTGTTGGGTACTTTTGCGTCTATATTTATGAAAGATATTGGTCTGTAGTTTTTTTTCTTGTGATGCTTTTGTTTGGTTTTGGTATCAGAGTAGTAGTGACCACATAGAATGAGCTGAGAAGTGTTCCCTTCTCTTCTATTTTGGAAGAATTTGTGAAGAATTGGTGTTAATTCTTCTTTTAATTAATCTGGCCCTGGGCTTTTCTTTGTGGGAAGTTTTAAAGTTACTAATTAAATCTCTTGTTATAGATATATCTAGATTTTCTATTTCTTCTTGAGTCAGTTTTGACAGTTTTTCTCTAGAAATTTGCCCATTTATGTTTTTTAAATTTTCTGACATACAGTTGATCATAGTATTTCTTTATGGTTTTTAACATTTCTATAAGGTTGGTAGCAAAGCCTATGTTTCATTCCTGATTTTAATAATTTGAGTCTCTTTTTTTCTTAGTTTTGCTAAAAGTTTATGAATTTTGATCTTTTTAAAAGGACTAACTTTTGCTTTCATTGATTTTCTCTACTTTCTGTTCTCTATTTT